AACTACTGCAGTTTGAAGCCAGCCCAGGAAGGAAAGGCCATGAAACTCTTATCTCCAATTAACTCCCAAAAAGCTGGAAGCGGAGCTGTGGCTCAAGTAGTACAGCACTAGCCTTAACTAAAAAAGCTAAGGGAGAACATCTAGGCCTTGAATTCAAGTTCTAGGACTAGAGTGAGTGAGTGAGTGTGTGTGTGTATGTATGTATGTGTCTGTGTTAGAGATAAAGATCTCAGGAAGAAAGGGACCAATAAAATTTTAGCTTACAACACATCATTTGTTGAGGTGCTTACAGAATTAACAGGCACAAATTATGAACAGATTAGGAATGGTACTCAGAAGCTCTAATCAGAGTTGGGAGCTATACAGTAATAAAGATAGAATTAGGAAAATATCAAGAAAAGGCATATAAATAAAAGATCAGAGAAACTTAAAGCACAAATATTTAAGGGAAAAACAAAGATCAGGTAAACCAAGAGAATGTCCTCACACAAATTTTACAAATAACAATCAATGTACTTATAAGTAGCAATGCACAAACTGAGTGTGTATATGTATATAAAACATACATTATGTATAGTATACATATGCATATGTAAATATATACATATTTATACTTGTATGTATTACATACATATTTACAGATGAATATGTATTGCATTATATACATTCATATTATATAAATATGTATATATATGCTTATGGCTAACATACAATCTGAATTTCTTGGGACTCATCTGATTTCAAATATTCTTTCCTATTGTCTCCCATAAATCTGTAGCATAGTATTCCCATTAATACTTGCAAACCTCCTTCATTCTTTTGGCTCAATATGTGCCATGTTTAGTTTCACTTCTAAAATGGAACAATATATCAGTAATAGCTATTTTGTAGGGTTAAAAACCTAATGAGTTCTAGCAAATCTACTATTCATCCATAAAAATGATGCCATACTAAAATTTGATCAGAGGGTTCTCTTGACCATCCATTCTAAATCTTTTCTAAAATTAACTTCAAATAATCTGTGCACATTTCATTTCACAAGATTGTATGCAGATTTCCAGTCATCTCTAACATTCTTTGTATTGTGAACCAATCAGTGGCACTAAGTGCTTATACCATAAGTACCAGGAAAAATCCTGTACTATGGCTAATCATTCTGTACTTAAACATTAACCTTTTATATTCTGTTTTCTGTGCCTACAGAACTTCCTTTTAAAAGCAACTCTAAAATCCAAACATTTTGTCTAAAATCAAACATCTGCCAGGTGAAAAATAGCTCATGCCTGTAATCTACATAGCTAAGGAGGCTGAGATCAGAGGATCAGGGTTTGAAGCCAGCAGATAAGTCTGTGAGATTTTAATCTCCAAATTGACACCAAAAAAAGCTAGATATGGAGCTGTAGCTCAAGTGGTAGAGCACTAGATTTGAGTAAAAAAAACTCAGGGACAGCACCTAGGCCTTCAGTTGAAATCCCAGGAGTAACACAAAAAAATCAAATATAGGGCTGGGAAGGTGGCTTAGTGGTAGAGTGCTTGCCTTGCATGCATGAGGCCCTGGGTTCGATTCCACAGCACCACATAAGCAGAAAAAGCCGGAAGTGGGGCTGAGGCTCAAGTGGTAGAGCGCTAGCCTTGAGCTGAAGAGCTGATGGACAGCGCCCAGGCCCAGAGTTCAGGCCTCACGACCGAAAAAAAAAAAAAAATCAAATATATAAATAGTACACACATTTAAATGTTCCAAAACCCTATCATCAAGTTCACTGTATGACTGTCTAAATTATAATAGCTTTATAGTTCTCCTTTCAATTATAAGCATCATTAACTAAATCTCTAATTACTAAGGTCATTTCATAAAAACATTTTTCAAGTCCTCCAAAACTATAAATTTTCATGATTAGTTGTCCACTTCTGAACCTATTCATGACTTTCTCAATACTAAACTTTTGCTTCTTTATTCCCGTAAGTTTAAATAGTCATCCCTCACTATAGAGCGTTCATTTCGATGAATCATAGTTCAAAAAAATACACAAATAGTAGTGATACCTCAACCTATTATGTGAGTTACATTCCAGAGACCCCTGCGATAGATGAAAATCTGCAAAGTAGCAGCATTATATAGTTGTCCCTTGATATCACAGTTCACTTATTACTACTTTGCAGATGAGTGATTGCCTAGCATGCATGAAGGCCTGGGTTCGATTTCTCAGTACCACATACACAGAAAAAGCTGAAGTGGCATTGTGGCTCAAGTGGTAGAGCAATAGCCTTGAGAAAAAGAAGTTTAGGGACAGTGCCCAGGCAGAAGAAAAAAAACCTAAATAAATCCTGTTCCATTGAACACATTGACTTTGAGAACCTGAAGCCCTACTATGTAATGAAACAAAATTTAACTTTATTACAAAAATATTTCAAATAAAATTTGGATTACCTGTTTTTTTTTCTCTAAGGACAAGTAAGACATAAACTTGGAAATTAATGTCTTAGTCTGTTTCCTCATAGATAGTTTTTACTATTCTCTAAATCATCTTCCAACTCTTGACAATTTATAATTGTCTTTATTCACGCAATATATCCTGCATTCCACAAAAAACATTTTAGCAATTTCTCAGAACTTATGAATTATAGTTTTAAATCTGTGATTATCCATACACCAAAGGAAAATCCAGTTAAGTGTGAAATTTTCCTATCAAAACAAAGTTCAAATAAGCAAAACTTTCATTGGGAGTAATTAGAATAAGTAGACAATGATAAAGAAGTGGAAAGCTTGTAGCATGGTAGAAATGAGCACAGAACTGAGTCAAGGACCTATTTCTAGTGACATTTCTGCCAAAAGCTGTTATTAGGCAAACTGTAAACTGTGGTCTCATTAGTAAGCTGAAAACCATTAAACTAATCTTGATGATCCTTACCAAATTAAACTGATTTTACAGTGTCCTTAGATTTAAAAGTTTACAGTTAAGTTTCAAAAGACCTAGGATTTCAAAGCTTTTCAGTCTCGTTTGAGTAGACTCATTTCAGGTTCTCTATGGTTACCCATTCATACCATAAGCAAAGACTGACTTACCAACATAAACTAGATAAAAATTTTACTCAAATAAGAAAATGTTTAAAGATCCAAGAAAACACTAAGGCTCTATCTGGATCTGAATAGAACTTTTTCTAAAACACTAGATCACATTAATACACAATAGGATTACGGTCCTGTGAATTCCCAACTATGTAGAAGTGAATTTATCAATTTTAAGATTCTTAGCAAAATTTTATCCAGGCTGGCTTCTATTACCCAGGATACTGAGCCACCACCTTCTACCATTAGCAAAAACTTTAATATTAGCCACGTAAAACACAATCCCAAAAATCTACAAAAACCATTATGTAATACATCCTAAGTAAAATGATAGAAACAGGTTAACATTTTGAGAAAACAATGAGTAGATCTCCAGAGTGAACAGGATTTTTGTTTAAGTTTTTAAGACAGGTGTCACCATGTATCCCAGGATGGCCTAGTACTTGGCACTATCACTCTATTCCTTGAATGCTAGAATTACAGTATACACCACTACACTAGGCTGAGAATGTTATTTTTGTATATCTAAGCTTTCTACTACAGAACTATGACCTTCAAGGATAATCCAATTTAAAGTTACTGAAAGCACAGACCTTAATAAAAAAGAATTTTAAATGTACCCATTTTGACTTGGATACATTTGATCTACATGAGTTTTACAACCATATATTTAAGCCATTATACACATTTTTATTATTTATTTGTAAAACTTTTTATATAAACACAGCAACATCCAATTTTCTGATACAGTAAATATTTCATTATCACTACAATAGAACATTCTTAAAAAATAACAGCAGGAAGTGGCGCTGTAGCTCAAGTGGTAGAGCGCTCGCCTTGAGCTGAAGAGCTGAGGGACAGCGCCCACGCCCAGAGTTCAAGCCCCATGACTGACAAAAAAAAAAAACAAAAAAACAAAAAACAAAAAAACAAATGCACCCCTTAAAAAATAACAGCAAATTCTACTGATTATGTGTGCTGGTCCTTGGAATTTAACTCAGGGCCTGGGCACAGTTCCTGAAGGGTTTTTATTGGATCAAGGCTAGCACTGTACCAATTGAGCCTCAGCTTCAATTCTAGCTTTCTGATAGTTAATTGAAGAATCTTATCGACATTCCTACCAGAACTGGATTTGAACTACAATCCCGACATCTCAATCTCTTGAGTAGCTAGGATTACAGGCGTGCACCACTGGTACCCAGACAGTTACACACTATTTGATTTAGACTTTTCTACTCTTTAAAGCTTTGACATTAGCCAAGGTTATTTTGTCACATTCTGTTTATATTTTAGAATTTAAAGAGTGTAGATATCCACTCTTTTTCAAGATGAAAGTAATTTCTCTGAGTATAATGTGTCAACAAGTTTTGGTCATCATTTTACTATTAAACAATTACTAAGCTCTTTTACTTCATCATTGCTGTTTGGGAAAAAAATTTGGTTCTCTGAATCATGAAGCTAAAGATGCTCTCATGCAAAAATAATGCTACTGTTTTATACTCTAAAATATATCAAACTTCATTTATAATTGTTGACATTTTCCTACATTTTTTAGACAGTCTGGCTATGTAGCCCAAGCTGTCTTTGAACTCATGATCCTCCTGCTTCAGCCTCTCAAGAGCTAGAATTACAGGTGTACATCATCATACCTTGCTCATTTCAAAAAGTACTTCCAAATCCATTTGAGATTCTAGGACAAAACAATGAAGGCTCACTACATATTAAAGATTTAGGAAAATCTACATTTATGAACTTCAAATAAGATTTGGACCCAAATGCAAATTTATGCCATAAAATTGCCTATACATTCAATGGGTGTATGTAGTATATATTATTCTTTATGTGTCTATTTTGAATTGATCACATTTAATGGATTATATTTAGGGGTATTTTTTAACTGTTAAAAGTTTAATGTTTATTTTTGTAATCCAACAACTTTATCCAAAAATGCAGAAAATTTTTCTGGCTGTCCAGGAGGATAATATTTCAGTGTTGATAAGTCCATTGACTGTAACAGCCCAGGAAGCGTGCTAAAACAAAAGAAGAAAAATATTAGGTAACATGGGAGAAAATTTCATTAGTTTATCTGCTGTCCACTCGATGACTGAATCTAACTTCCAAGAATACAGTGATGCTCAAACTGTAGGTATGAATTTGTATGTATTCTTAGTATTGTAGTATATGCATACTGAAATTAGTATAGCAATAGAAAATGTTAATGGAGATTACAAGACCATGAATGAAGATTGGGAAATACTTTTACTGGGAATTTACTATCATAACTTCAGATGTAATTAAGCAATATATGTTCACCCTACATGTTGGAAATAAGGTTATAAGTTACAACACAAAACTAGTACCTCAGACATATGTTTGAACCAGTCTCTTAAATTAGGACAGCCTAATCTTGGGGAAAATAAATGATTTACCTAAAATGAAAATATAAACAATTTGCTCAATAGTTCATGTGCTTGATTTTTCTGATTACATATAACTTTTAAAACTGTGAGAACGAAGAAACTAGTGACTTGTACAGTTTCTTCTTCAGCCCAAGTTAAAATTTAGGACATTTCTGTGAAATAAAATTCATTTTTATTGTACATTTAAAATCAAGGCTTAATTTTAACATTGAGTGAAAACTTTTTTTAACATTGAGTGAAAACTTACCAAAAGTTATCTGGAAACACCAACTTGTATGGTGAAGAGTTTGGAACACAAGAATATATTCCTCTCTTTAAAAAGGTGTCAACCTTTAAATATCTCAATTACCCAAGGGCAGACATAACCATTATCTATAGCATACATAATTTTAACTATTTAGCTTCTTTTTTGACCCAAAGTACTTCAAGACTGCATTCACTCACTTCCATTATATTCCTCTCATAATGGAGTTGAGTTGGAACTCATGTCTTTATCCTTGTTCAACTTGAGTGCTTGACTGGTGCTTGAGACACCTCTAGCTTGGCTTTTTTGTTAGTGATTTTGTACAGCCTTATTCTTTTTGTCTGGGCTGACCCTTGAACTTCAGTCACTTGGATCTCAGCTGCTCGAGTGTTATAAGTTTAATCCAGTGGCACCTGGCTTATTTCTCTTTTCTTGCCAAAAGGAAGTTTTGAACTAAAGAGCTCCATATTTGCTCAACTTGCTTACTCAGCTGGTAGTCTACCACTTCAACCATACCTCCAGCCAATTTCCCTCCTGAAATAGTCAATCTGTTTTCTCAATGAGTAGGAATCTTTGCTTTCTTCAGATTTCTCTACCTATATATCTATGTGTGTATGATATATCATATATATCGTATATATATCATACACACTGCTAGAAAATGATATAAAATAAGAAATTTACTCATACCTTGCCCATGTAATTGTAACCCCTCTGTAAGGTATTTTCACAATTAAAAAAAGAAAATGATACAAAATAGGTGTTCAATAGATATCTAATGAATAAGTATTTACTGATTGTCTAAGAAGCAGAAAAAATTTAAAAACCTTAGGTTCTAAACTAGTTTTTACTTTATTTTAAAACACATTTACTATAACATGAAATGCACATGTATAATTATCCTATGAAGTAAAATACCATTAGAGCATGCTAGTTTCTAAACATCACATTAGGAAAGGCTTTAAATTCAAAAAAATGGCAATTGCTAACACCCTGGACCATCAGCAAGCTTGTAGAACCTCAAAGAACAAAACCCAGCCAATTTCCCTCTTACTTCTTAATGCAATGTTGTTCAATGCTTGGGTTATTCTAATGTACTTCTAGTAAAAAATATTTCTGACCATAATTCCTTTGCTTAAAATTCTCCAGTGTTTTCTCACTGAACATACACTAAATCAGAACTCTCACATAAGAGATCCTCTCTCTGCCTCATAATATACTCTCCCTTATACTACTGTCACATTAACCTTCCTGCTTCCCAAGAACACCAAACTCCATGCTCATTCCTAACATAGGAGTTTTTCTTTTTTTAGGTTACAGACTGGGATTCACACTTGGTATCTGTTGCTTATGCTCAATGACTAGTGTTCTATGTACTGAGCCACTTCCTACCCCCATTAAGGGACTTTGAAATTCAGTTCTCTGCCTCTACAACATTCTATCATTTCCTTTTTTTACTCAGGTCTCACTTACTTTGTTTAGACTTCTCTGAGTATTCTCCTTAAGCAGTCTTCAATCCAGCTATGGTATCACTCTTTGTTTCTTTGTAGCATATTTCACCATCTGAAGTTCTATGACTAGTATTCAAGTACAGCAAGAGCATGGAGATTACTTCATATTTATCACTATTTCTCAGCTCTTAACAGTGTCTGCTACATTGTTTGGTACAACTGAGCAACACATTTAAGGATTCCTTTGATTTATAAAGGCCAAACTCACAAAAAAAGAAGCAAATACTTTAAGAACCAAAAATCAAAATAAGGAACTCAAATAATAGATTCACAGAAATTTGCACATCCAGGTGAAAATATAAAGTCTCAAATTCACATGCAAAGAAATGACATATAGGAAAAAAAGCAACACATCAAGGCCAAACGTTTTATAGGAAGGAAAATCAATGTATGTCTGGGAAAAGAAATAAAAGAGACACATGGGTTAGGTAGGCGGGTAAGAACAGATGGATAAATCTAGGTAAAAGATCAAATTATCAGTCTCTACCTGCAAGTACAGTAGAAGAGATGTCCCTCTTTGTGTAGCTGCTTTGCCAATTCCAGTTGATGATTGTTCATCAACTTTTCATTTACAACTACCACAAGTGGCTTGCCTTTTTCCAGAGTCTCCAAACAGCTTCCTGCACCTACAAAAATAAAATCAAATTTGCTAATAACATATGAGCAAAAGAGCCCAGGGACAGCACACAGGCCCTGAGTTCAAGCCCCGCAATCCACCAAAACAAACAAAAGTTACTTACCAAGTCTTCTTGACTGTAAAGCTGCATAACTTAGTTGAGCAAAGTATGTAAACTAGAGTACATTTATTAGTTGTTCTTTCTTGTTAATACACTAGGTTCAGGCTATGGGTAGAGGCTTCATATTTATTAGGCAGATTCAAATTCCTGGTACTTGCAAAAAATATTTTAGAGCTACTCACAACAGTATGATTTATTGGTATGTCATACTTGTAGAGAGCTCATGAGAGCTAACATTCATCTATTAGATATTTGGAATGGGAATGAGTAGACTGTTAGGTGAGATTTTTTGATATCCCATGCTAGGGTAGTTGTAAACAACAAACACACAGCACCAAATTATCTATCCATCACTTCCTGGCTGGACAAGCTACGTAACTGTTTTGTGTCTATTTTCTCATCTATAAAATGGAACAATACCAACATAAAGTGCACACAGAATTGTTTGGGAAGATTAACTGTGTTAATATACACAAATGCATTTAGAGTAGCTACACATTTTCAGTCACCAATCTGTAATAATGTATTATTTCTAGTGTCTTCTGTCTTTTTAAACTAAAAACTTTTTGAAAAATAAGAAACATCCCTCCACCACCACACAGCATTCAAAACTGTAGGATTCTGTCAAAGAAAGTCTTATACATAAATTACAAATAATTTCCTACTTACACAGTTACATAATATTTTACTGCATTTATTTCACACCGACACAAAATGAAAATGGTGAATATGATACACTAACAATTTCTTATGAGCAGTTCAACTGGCAGACTGAACATTCTTTATCTTTTAGGTCCAAGACTGGGACTCAAACTTGTTACCTTCCATTTCTGCTCATTGGCTAGTGCATTACTAACTGAGGCATATTTCCAATCTTTAAACATTGCTTTACATGTAAGTTCAAGTCCTAATTCAAGTTGACAATTTGTTACATATGCTATTTGGGTAAACCATTTTGTCCCTCTGAATTGAGGGTCCTATTATAAAATTGGGCTAAGATAATTTCTTATTCTTATCCACCAATATGAAAATTTCATTCACAAGAGAAACATACCAATAATACTGAATGTATTATACAGTAAATGTAGTGATATCATGAGAAGGTAAAAATATGATTTATAATCAAAGAAGGAACTCTGAGATTCTAAGAGATTCTAAGACAATTACCTGCGTGACTAATAACAAGATCTGCTAGTTGAAAGTCTTCTTTCAAGGAATCTTTGTACCTGTAAACATCCAGAGTAAATGACTCAGTACTGAATGGTTTAGGTATCACTGTTCCTCTACCAATTTGGAGGATAAGTCGGCTGTAACCAAGACTCTGGATGATCTATAAAAAGAAATAAGAAAACCCGGGCCTTTGTAATTGTCGACTCTTAACAGCTGGGCCTGGCTACAGTTAACACCAACAGTTAATAATCAACCTTCAAAGCGGGAGTTCTGACCAGAACACCTGTGGTCATTTCAGTTTTCTAAAGTACCTCATTCCCCCTTCCCCGTCCCGGAACTGGAATTAATAGCCCTGAGGAATGTAAGGACACAGCGCAGCACTAAAAAGCAGGCAAGAGAGGACTTTGAAAGAGCCTCTGTTTTGGCCTCACAGGTTCTAGTGCAACAACCTCAAGCCTTCAGAAGTTCCGGACCCGCCGCCAGGGACGCTGTCCCATAATGAGCGCCAGAGGTTAGGAAAGGTGAGGTTAGGGATAAGGCCGGAGGGGACCGCTGAGGTAGTTAAAAGGCCTTAGGGCGAGAGGTTTGGTGGCGATCCGCGACCTTCACCCTGACCCCAGCCACATTTACAAAAAGCGAAGCCTTAGGAAAAGTGAGCAGTGGCATCGTTCTGAAGGGAAGAAAGCACAGGAAAGGAGGTGCCAGAAAGACCGAGGAGCGGCGTGTGGAAAAAGGGAAGGTACAGACCTAGAGGACCAAGGAGCTTTAGAGCCCTGCTGGAAAAGGAGACGGGTCACCAAGGGGACTGGCAACGGAGAGCGGCAACTGCCCCCCGCCCGGAATACAACAACCAGGCCAGGTTTCCAAGGCCAGCAGAAGGGCTAAAAGCTTGGAACGACGGGCCGCCGCCCGCCTGGCCCCCTTCGCGACTCCCCACACTCACTCGCAAGCTGTCCTGCGCCGACACACACGCTATGAGCTCGTCAAAGCTGGTGGTCCCTACGGTTACAAACACGCACTTCATCTCGTGCGTGCGTCCGTCCCAAATCGCAACGCCGGAAGCTGCGTCACGGAGGCGGTGCCAAAGCCCCGCTTAGTGAAAGAGGCGGGACTAGGCGACAGCCTCCGGAAAGTATCGTTGTGGTCCCACGTGGTGAGGATGTGGGCCTTTACCCAGGTAAGGGTTTTTGTTTTGGTTTTGTTTTTTCAAAAATAGTAAAATATAAAAATTAAAATCTCAAGCACATTGTGTTGCCATCACTGAGTACCACATATCTTTCTTGGTTATATTTGACATACTTTGTGTTTCAAGCCACAGAACAATGCCTTGATTCACTAACACTCCAGGCTTCACCTCTCTCCCAGACCAGATAAATTCTCCTGGCAAGTACTGGACCAAAATTTATTCCCAGTTGAGACCTTGAGCAGCTACCTCTGCTAAGCTCCCTCCCTACTTCCATCTACTACTTATTTCCTACCATTTGTCCCAACATTAGTTACTTTCAAAACATCTTCTCTAGGTTATTCTAGCATTCTTTCAGACCCACTATAAATACTTAAGATTGTAAACAAGGAATGAGTGTAGCTGTGGCTAGAGGCTTCCCTTCTGCAAGTTTTTTCTAAGACATCTGTGTTGGTCTTGAGCAACCTCTTTGTATATAGCCTTTTCCCCTCTTTTTGAATGTAACACTTGGTTTTGCCATGAAAATTTGGCCTATAGGATACCACCTCTTGTGCCTACCTCAGTTCTCACTTGCCCTTTGCATGTAGGAAAATGGGGTAGAAAAACTCCACTTTTACTTATTTGTTATGCATTCACATAACATTTGTTCATATTGTTCTTTATTATATAAGGTGGTAATAACTAATTAACATACAAATTACTGTTTTGGCCATGGTAGTAAACACATGTATAGACAAAGCATATTTATTCTGGAATGTAGCAGATATATTGGACACCAAAACACAAACCATTCTTGATTTATATACAATATATAGAATAATGGATAAATTATGGTGCTGGGGGGTCACACTACTTGAGTTTCTATTCTGCAATTGTTTCTTAACCTGTGTAACCTTGAGCAGTTTACAAATCTATGTTCATCTGCTTATACGTAAAATGGTGATAAAAACAGTGCTTAATTTGTACCTATATTATTACTATAAATGATTATATGTTAAAGAGCTTCAACCAATATCAAGCTAAAAACATCCATAATTGCTATTACTTCTATTTTCATTACTACAAAACACTGAATACAGGCAAATGATATTGAAGCAGAATAATATTGATTTATACATTTCTTATATTTGCTTTACAGTTTCATTATGTCTTTGTATTTAAAGTTCAGTAACAATAACATTCTGTTTTTATTTTAAACAAAATACCAAGAATCACAGTGAAGGGTTTTTTTTTGTTGTTAACAGCATATTCTGAATTTTCCCACCTGAACTAATACAAATAGTTTAATAAGCCAATCATTTAAATTTCATTTTTGTATATAGCAACTGGGATTATATATCAGTAAATTATTTCATTCTGCTTCTACACAAATTGAAAAAAGAAAAATGTTTTTATATGTGTGCCAGTCCCAGGCTTAAACTCAGGGCCTTATGCTCTCAATTAGCTTTGTTTCTCACTGCTAGCACTCTACCACATGAACCACACCTCAATCCTGGCATTTAACTGATTAATTTTAGATGGTTATTTGAACACCTATCTGCCCAGTTGGCTTTGAACTCCAATCATCCAAATATCAGGCCTCCAGAGTAGCCAAGATACTGGTGTGAGCCACAGGCATCTGACCTGGACATAGTAATAACAATAGCATTACCCTCCTAAATTGTTCATTAAAACAGTAACAGAGTTTCTTGTATTTTCAAACGAAATTATATACTATCAGGTCCTTTTGCTTTGGAGGAAATACATTTTTCATTCTCTTCCATTTTTATTAGCACTTATTTGTTGTAACTCCGGGCTTCACTGTGCTGTCTCCTTATGTGTATATAATATGCTCCAATCAAACCCTGTCCCCTCTGACAGTCCATCTCATAACCCTACCCTTCATGGAAACTTAAGACCATAATAACCCCCTTTCACTCTTTCCACCCTCCCATTTGTACTTTCCACCAAAGGAAACCTCTTTACATTCATTGCATTGTTGTCACTTCTTTGTGTGTAACAGCCTTAGGGCTTGAACTAAGGTCTGGAGTGCTCTCCAAAAAAATTTATTTTTGGGTCCGGTCATGGGGCCTCAGCTCTGGGCCTGGGCGCTGTCCCTCAGCTCTTCAGCTCAAGGCTAGCACTCTACCACTTGAGCCACAGCGCCACTTCCGGCTTTTTTTTCTTTTTGCTTATGTGGTGCTTAGGAATCGAACCCAGGGCCTCAGGCATACAAGGCAAGTGCTCTACCGCTGGGCCACCTTCCCAGCCCACCATAAAGCATTTTTTTCCTCTCTACTACTTAAGGTACAGTTCCACTGCTTGGTTTTATTTTTGTTAGTTTATTGGAGATAAAAGTCTCATGGACTTTCCTGCCCAGGCTGCTTTGAACCTCAATCATCAGATCTCAACCTCCTGAGTAGCAAGGATTACTAGGCAAGAGCCACCTTCCCTGTCACTGCCCCAGTGATGGGCTTGCAAACAAACTTCACCCTAACCTTGAGGATCAGTTCTCTGGCTGGGAGGAAGACCAAATCAGTAAGAGAAAATGGTGTATGCTGACTACTGTACTTCCAGACACTTTCCTGTTTAGGACTATGCAGTCCTTCAGTTCAAGGGTACATAAATAAGTTTCTGTAGTACAGTAGGAAGGAGAAACTTCCTGGCCAGAACAAAATGCAGTCAGAAAGCTGATTCATACAAAAGGAAGCACAATTTCTACCTATATTTTTTTAAACTTTGCCAGTCTCAGTGTCTGCAACATTTTCAGGTAATAAGCTGCCTACCACTTAGGAAGGTAACTACTGTGTTAAAAGTCATGTGATGATCAGTCTGATCCCTGAAATGTATTCCATATTCCTTCAAGTGTATCCATTGGAGACAGTTGGTGGAAAGAGATAAACACTTCTGGGTTTTTCCCAAACTATAGGTCCTTTCCTGACCTTGGATTTTGGTATGATTAATTCATACTTGAATCTGTCTCATTGTATCTCTCCTCAAAGCAGCCTGAGTTTCATTCAAAAAGTTTTCAAACCATAAGCAAACAATGATGTTTTTGGTTGGTGGCTATGCAGAGAAAGGATGCCAGTTTTGTCCTGGTTAAGTGGCCCTGAAAACCATTGTGCTCGTCTCTCTTGTGACACTCATTTCCCTCCCTTCCCTGGGGTTGGTCCTTCAGGCTACTGACTTCTGAGGTTTACAGATTTTGCAATGTGGTACTGTTAATTTTTTGTCTGAAGGTTATTTCTCCAGGGAAAGGTAATAACTTCCTAAAACCCATGTGAATTTGAGGAAAAGAAATGTTATTGGTTGGGTTTTTTGTTATCAAATAAAAATAGCAAAAAATAAAAAAGTAGTTTTACCTTCTCTGAGTTATTTATGTAAAACTATGTTTTTAATATTGTTAGGTTTTTAAAAAGAGGCAGCCGAGTAAGAACTGCACCACGCAGGTGGTATTCAGGTAAGGGGTAGGTTTATTCAGTAGAACTGCTGGGACCAGGCAAGGTTGGCACTCCAAGCAGCTGGCAAAAGAAAAAAAGGAGCGTCCCGCCCCGGTTTAGGGCTTATATAGGGTAGGGGCGGGGAAGGGTGTGTCCAGGTAAAGGGAAGTGGGATCAGGTGGGAGAAAGGTGTGGCCACATCAGGTTAAGGTGTGACCTCTTCCAGGTGTCCCAGTTGCCTAGGTAATGCAGGTAACTGGGTGAGGTCTGTTCTCTGTTCAGGAATGGACCTTACATTCCAGCCTTTTGATAATTATGAAAAAGGGCGAAGACTTTCTCTGGCTACTTCCTGCTGGCAAGGGGCGTCATAAGGGTAAAAGGCTGGGATGTGGTCCGCGCTGGGAGAAGGCAGCAAGCTGCAGCTGTCACTTGGGTGTTGAGTCCTTTGATGAAGTCTGGAGGAGGCAAGTCTCTTGGACGAAGTCTGGAGAAGTTTCATGAGGCATTGACGGAAACCTGAACAAATGGAAACTGACAATTTTTAAACCTAGAATGGCTAGCCTTTGAGAGGGAACCTAGAGGGCGGTCCCCAGGACCCAGCCTGCATTGCACTCTTCAGGGCACAAGCCAAACAAAAAGTTGTAGAGTCAGTCTGGTGAGTGAAGGAGAGCTGACCAGGCAGAAGCAGCGTCCCGACTTCCCCCAGAGCCCTCTAGAGTGAAATGGCCAAGCCCTCAAAGCCAAGTGTCCTCAGCTTCAGAGGTGACCGGCCTTTCAGCTAAAGGCCGTAGGAGCTCTCTGGCGTGGTGCCACATCTGGACAGAGACTGAGCAACAGAGAGCTGTAGTGGTTTCACTCACCAGAGTAGAGAAGTGGTGTAGACGTGGATGTGAAGGCCAGAAATGGTATTGGTGAAAAATCTCACATGGTGTCAAGGAAGTTTGGTTCACAAAAAAGGGGTGGTTAGGAAATTCTAGGTTTTATTGGGTAGCTGATGAAAAGAACACCATTCTATTCAGGCAGCAAAAGAAGTTAATTTGACTGAACTGTTGCCCCCACCCAGCATGGTGGAGAAGCATGGCTGAAAAAGGAAAGGTGGGGGGGGGGGGAGGAAGAGGGGTGGCCTAGTAGAAGGTGACTGCTTCCAGGTCTGCCAGTTCCATGATGTCTGCAAGAAGTGAGTCTCTTAGATGAAGTCTGGAGGAAGTCTTCCCAGGCAGGGGGCTGAAAAAAGATGAAAAGGAAATATATTACTGGAAAGAAAAGATTGGATGTCCATGGCTTGGAGGTGACCTAAGGGATGAGGTAGTAAGGTCTTTGGGGAGGAGAGCAGTTAGCTCAGTGTTATTCACCTGGATCTTCAGGGATGCCAGATAGCCTTACCTTGGTAGGCCCAAGGGGGGAACAGGTGTACCTGGAAGTCAGTGTTGGTATAGAAGGGGCAGGAGCAGGAGCCCTT